AAGAAAAAATGAAAATTGGACGCATTCGAAAATTCAGCACGTTACGTGCATAACGTAGAAAGGGTAAAAAAAAATGTCGTACCCAGTGCACAAAACTCCCGCTTTACGCAGGGTCTGGGAGAGGTGAAAATTCGACCTTCAGTCAGTCTTCTCTTAAACTGCAAGGAAGCGTTCGCTGTTGGCTCTCGACAAGGTTAGGTAGGCTGTCATGGTCATGAGAGAAAATTCAACCTTCAGTCAGTCTTCTTTGAAACTGCAAGGTTAGATAGGCTTGTGTATAGTATATGTGTGTATATATAGGTAGCACTACTGTTGTCATTGCTCATACAAACCACCTACTTCGTTCTTATTACAAGGCGACTTTATGGAGAAGCCCATGAGACCTGTTTTGCTTCTTATTATCATGCTTTTAACTATTGCAACGTTTACTGATATCAGTTTATGCAATGGAAATCTGCGTGTGCGTTGCAGGGAAGGTGAGAAACGAGCGCTTCTGATGTTCAAGCAAGGTCTTGAGGATCCTTCAAATCGGCTCTCATCATGGATTAGTGATGGAGACTGTTGCAACTGGACTGGAGTTGTCTGTGATCCCTTAACTGGTCATGTCCGCGAGCTCCGCCTCACTAATCCCAACTTTCAGCGGGATTTCCACTACGCCATTTGGGATTCCTACAACGGTAATACTTGGTTGGGTGGTAAGATAAATACTTCTTTGCTCCATTTGAAGCATCTCAACTATTTGGACTTAAGTTACAACAATTTTCAAGGCATGCAGATTCCTAGCTTCTTGGGGTCTCTTAAAACTTTGAGATACCTTAACCTCTCAGAAGCTGGATTCCGAGGATTAATTCCTCCTCAGTTGGGAAACCTCACGAATCTACATTTTCTCAGTCTCAGTGATAACCTGAAGGTTGAGAATCTCGAATGGATTTCCAGTCTTTTCCACTTGAAATACCTAGACCTGAGTTCTGTTAATGTTAGCAAAGCATCTAATTGGTTGCAAGCAATAAACAAGCTTCCTTTTTTGGTAGAGTTACATATGGTCGACTGTCAACTTGATCACATTCCCCCTCTTCCTATCATAAATTTTACTTCGCTTTCTGTCCTCGATCTTTCCGAGAACAGTTTTGATTCTTTGATGCCTAGGTGGGTTTTCAGTCTTAGAAATTTAACTTCTCTTTATCTCAAAAATTGTGGTTTCCAAGGTACATTTTCTAGCCATCCCAAGGAACCAGATCTTTCATTAGATAATCTGTGTGAGCTGATGGATCTTGATCTGTCATATAACAAATTCAATGGAAATGCATCAGACATCTTTGAAAGCTTGTCTGTGTGTGGTCCAGACCGAATAAAGTCCTTGTCGTTATCGAAAAATAATTTTTCAGGTCATTTAACAGAGCAGGTAGGAGAGTTTAGAAACTTAAGCCACCTTGAGATTTATGCCAATTCAATATCAGGTCCCATCCCAATTTCATTAGGTAACCTATCATGCTTGGAGTTCTTAATCATTTCTGATAATCGGTTTAATGGAACTCTTCCGGAAGTGATTGGTCAACTGAAAATGCTGAGTTATCTGGAGATATCGGATAACCCATTCGAAGGTGTGGTGTCTGAAGCTCATTTTTCCCACCTCACAAAACTGAAGCATTTCATTGCAGCCAGGAACCCATTGACTTTGAAAACAAGTCGAGACTGGCTTCCTCCTTTCCAACTTGAGCGTTTATGGTTGGATTATTGGCATCTAGGGCCTGAATTTCCTGTGTGGCTTCGGACACAAACGCAATTGAAGCTTCTAAGCCTACCCAATACAGAAATTTCAGATACCATTCCGACTTGGTTTTGGAACATATCTTCACAGTTGTGGACTGTAAATCTCTCTAGTAACCAGTTGCATGGTGAGATTCAAGGAATAGTTGGGGGGAGTTTGTTTTCGGTTGACCTGAGTTTTAACCAGTTTAATGGTTCGTTACCTTTGGTTTCCTCCTCAGTATCCTCACTAGATCTTTCCGGCTCATCATTTTCTGGATCTCTCTTCCACTTCTTTTGTGATAGGATGAACGAACCAAAAAACCTTGTCAGCCTTCATCTTAGGGACAATCTTCTCACTGGAGAAATTCCTAATTGTTTGATGAACTGGAAACGGTTGTCAATTTTAAACTTAAACAGCAACAAGCTGACTGGGAACATCCCAAGCTCCATAGGGTACTTAGAGAGTTTGGTATCATTGCATTTGCGCAATAATCATCTATATGGAGAATTACCTTTGTCCATGCAAAACTGTACGGAGTTGTTAGTGGTTAACCTTGGCCAAAATAAGTTTTCCGGAAGCATTCCAACATGGATTGGGACAAGCCTTCCGAATTTGATGATTCTTAACATTCGTTCAAATAAGCTTCAAGGAGACATTCCTCATGAACTCTGTGATCGGAAAACTCTCCAAATCTTGGACCTTGCATACAATAGCCTTTCAGGAGCAATACCGACATGCTTCCAAAATTTCAGTGCCATGGCCACCACGCCAGATGTAAACAAGCCGCTGGGTTTTGCCCCTTTATTTATGGAATCTGTGATAGTGGTGACAAAAGGGAGACAAGACGAATATTATGGGATGTCAACACTTGGGTTGGTCATAGTTATGGACCTTTCAGACAACATGCTATCTGGAGAGATCCCAGAGGAACTAACCAGCCTCACTGGCTTGCAGTCCTTGAATTTATCGAACAATCTTTTGACTGGAAGAATCCCTTCAAAGATTGGTAACATGAAATGGTTACAGTCTATGGATTTATCAATGAACGAACTTGATGGTGAAATTCCCCAAAGCATGAGAAGTTTGACATTTTTGAGTCACTTAAACGTGTCCTACAATAATTTGACAGGAGAAATTCCGAAAAGCACTCAGCTTCAAAGCCTTGATCAGTCTAGCTTCATCGGCAATGAACTTTGTGGAGCTCCCCTCAACACAAATTGCAGCGCAGATAGGATGCCGCCAACAGTTGAGCAAGACGGAGGAGGAGGATACCGTTTACTCGAAGACGAGTGGTTCTGTGTGAGCTTGGGAGTTGGATTCTTCACGGGGTTTTGGATTGTGCTTGGTTCTTTGCTAGTAAACATGCCATGGAGCATTCTTCTTTCACAGTTGCTGAATAGGATAGTGCTTAAACTGTATCATGTATTCAAGTGAGCTTGTTGGCATTTTTCTTGCTTTGACGAATATCGTACTTTTGTTGATTGTATATTTTTTTTTAAATAGGGCAGTACGCAAAGTTTATGATGTAAAAGTGAGATGAAGTCTCTTTTCTTTGTGTTTTTTCTGTACAATTTTACAATCACGATCCATCTCCTTCTGGTGCTGAAAATTGTGAACTTTTGATTAATCAAGAATTCCTCAACTGTTGATTGATTGAAGAGAGAGTATTATACATGTTTGGTTGTGATTTATAATTGGCTGCTTAATTTGAACGTACAAATAGTCAAGAAGAGTAAGAAATAAGACTCAAGGATAGGATAAAAAACAACGTTTTTAATTTATGTTCTAAAATTTTGGAATCGAATAGGATCGGACCATATCTCAATTTTTATATTCATAAATTTCGACATATTCGGAAATTTTAGAATCGGAATAATCTAAAAAATTTCGGAACATAATTAAGAAATTCATATATTTTATAAGTTTTTGAATATTCTCCAACTTTTTCGTACGTGTAATTTATTATTTTATCTACAAATTTGATATATGCTTATGTATAAATTCAATTAATTTTGTTAAAAACAATAAACAAAATGTATTCAAAACTGACAATAAAATGCAAAACCAGATTACAAAATATATAATTTGAGTCAATAATTATACCAAAAATTGAAATATTTCGAAAGTTTTTTTTAACAAAATTAGTTCGGAACACTTTGAAAAATTTCAAATTGCAAATTCAGAAATTTTGAAATCTAAAAATGCATTCCAATTTAGGTTCTAGTTTTTTGAAAAATATTCGAATTCGAAAATTTTACAGTCGGAGTCGAAAGCAGCGTTCCAACTTGCACCCCTATGTGTGTGTGATTGTAGTTGGAGCAACAAGTGAAATTCATTAAAAAGCCACTTCGTGGGAAGTTAGGAACACGAGTTACATAATAATGTGACTTGTGAAGTACATCAATTATTAGAATAATCAAGTTAGATTTGTAGCTATGAGTGTGCTACAGATGGCTTAAAGAGAGGAATGGAAGTGATCGACACTGGAGCTCCTCTAAGTGTTCCAGTAGGCAGAGCGACTCTAGTACGTAAAAAGCTCCTTCACCGAAGCCCATTTTGCCCACCCAAACGACCTGAAACCGCCTTTTAAGGAAGGACAAAACCAAAACAGAGGTGGTCAAATAGTTTGGACGTCCACTTAAAGTGGGCGACGTCCTTCCATTCAAATAGAACAAATCCCCTTAAAGTCACGTACATAAAAGAAGGTTGTACGTATTACTTTTTTAGTTCTGTTTGATTGATTTTTTTTATCGGTTCTTTTTTTTTTCCTTTTATGAGTTATGTTATGAATTATGTTTATAATTTATAATTCATATCTAAAATGTATTACTTTAATTAATTGCACATTGTTTGACAACTAATTTCTCGCAATTTGTAAGTGGTGGAATTCTCTATAGTGATTAGAGCATTTCTCTAGAATCCACTTCTCCTACTGTACATTAATATAGAATACAGTTTGTAATTAAAAAAAAAAACATTGTCATAGAAAGATTGTAAATTGTAATGTCGTAGACGCCAAAAAAAAAAAAAACTTGGAAGCGTTTACACTTGGCTAACCCAAGAAATCGGCTACTTTATTATGCTCATGTGAGGCATTTTTAATTCCACGTATAAAATCATTTCTAATTAACAAATCTGCTACAGTATTATGCTCATGTAATGTATTTTTAATTCCACGCACAAAATCGTTTCTAATTCAAAGGGGCATAAGCCCATTGGGCTCCATGAGAAAGAATATGATTGAGATTTGGTGGGGTGCGCAAGGCCCGAGCAGTAGGGCATCGCTTGGAAGACATGCGAGAATGTCAATAGCAAACTAATGTAGGAGATCCTCTCTCTTAAAAAATTAATTTAATATCATATCGACCATTAACCCACTATATCCAGTATTAAATTAATAAAAACAGACACTACACTTGATTTTAGCCAAAAGATCGAGAAAGGTATGAGCTTTAACACGCTGGGCCTTGTTTTTTATTTTACCTCTTTAGTACATTCTCATTTTCGCTAGCCGATGTGACACTAAACTTTTTATCTCTTTGGTCGTTAAACTAGGTGTTCTTCAAAGTAAAATTGTGTTCTTCAAAGTAAAATTTTGTAACCTTAACATATGGCGTCAACGATTCAGCGGGAGATAATTCGAAGGTGGAGAATGCAGCTCCAAGATCTGCAGCCTCAATTTGTCTAGTTATAATCAAATTAAATTGGTAATTAAACTAAGACAAACTGTTGCTTCAACAAAACTCCAAGGCTCAACCAGAGACTCTCTTATTAACAAGACAATATATTTCTTACGTATACAACACATTTGGGAATATACATCTCTGACATCATGTATATAATTTAGCATCAAGAACTCGAACTCGCAGAGGATATATTACAAAACGTATAGAGGGGAATAAAACACCACCTTAGGTCAAAGCCAAGAGCCTCACACGCCCACGATGAATGGGGAGGGCCTTGGCCGAAGAACATCCGATGCCAAAGTTTGAATTTTGAGGGAAAAGTGTTTGGAAGAATTTAGAGAATTTAGCAAGAGTGTAGAACTTAGGTTTTGGAGAGAATAAGGGTGTTTATATAGGGGTGTGGCCAGCTCCTTTGGGAGGAGATGGACCAGCCACTTGGATGGTTTTTTGGATGAGATTCGTGATTTGTTAGCTAAATAATAGATTAATTGGGTAATTAATTAATCAGTTAATTAGCTAATTAATATAATTTAGAAATGAATGATTTGGGGGTTACCTTGTGCAGAAGATTTGATGAGGATAGATGAAATAAGTTTTGAATAAATACCTATTTTGGGCAATTTTGACTTGATTGAGAGATGATTGCCCACGGCTTGCGTGTAGAAATCTTGGTGTGCCTTGAGGGTAATCTTGTCTTTTTAACCCAAAAATCTACGTGTCGCCTCTATATTTTTCTTGATTATTTTTTGCTCCACAATTATCATATTGTCCGTCTGGTGACATGTATTAACTATATGGTACCTTTATTGTGTGAACCCAAAATAGAGTGAAAACATTCAACTCTAACTAGTCACTGTATGATATGTACATAGTCATGGGACGTTCTAGACAAAGATGCACGCTATCTTATCCTACTCCATAAATAATGAAGTGGAATCCTTCTTATGAAGCTCTTCCTAATGGGAAAATATACATGTCTAACAAGAAGGTGGCACATAAAGAGCAAAACGGAACCCTTTAATTCTATTACAAAAAACAAACCCCTAAATCTCATGGCCGGCCCTAATCTCATATATGGTAAAACCGTGCCTTTCTCCACTTTGAATTCAATACTTGTTATTAGATTCAAATTTCAAGTTGTAAACTATTTGATGAAAACAAGTTGTGATATCAACGCAGTCTAATTCCTCCAATCCCTACCTCCAAACCAAACGTATTTCATTAATTAATTAATTAATTAATGGGAGGTAGGTCAGGTGAGGTTCATATAGTCAAGCAAGTCTCCCATGCTCTAATATTATGCTCCAATTGGCAGTGTACTCCAAATGAATCCAGTTAATTAGTGACAAAATTCAAATGCGAGTTCTAAGCAACATTCTTTTTACAATTTGTTCACCTTGAACTCGAATCAATGTTTTAAAAGACTCGCCTGAGGGTGCGTCTAGGCGTCCAGTAAAGCTGGGCTTGAGGGTTGCCGCCTCTGTTTTGAGAGAGTGGGCAGAAGGCGCCGCCGGAGCCACCTAGGCGCGCCTCAGGGGATTTTTTTTTTTTTTTTATTGCTCCCAAACCCAAATTTTGGGTAGGGTTTTAACTACCTCATATCTCTTCCTTGCACTATCACCTCTTTACCTTGTTTTCTGATTTTTATTTTTTATATAATGGATGTGTGTGCCTTCTACGTGCATTGTTATATGTGTGCTCATTGTGCTTTTCATCCTCTATTATATATATATATATATATAATATATGTATATATATATATATGTGTGTGTGTGTATGTATTTATAATATATGTGTGTGCTTAGGGTGATTATTGATTAATAATCTTTTTTTTAATATAATATAAGTGTACGCTCAGTGTATATATTAAAAAATTTAGATCCTATGAGGCTTCACCTCACGCCTAGGCTGGCCTATCCCTCAGATGCCTTGCCCACGCCTCACGCTTTTAATACATTGACTCGAATACATACATAAAATTAGGTTAGCTAGTCAGAAGAGTACACTTGGTTCTTCGCACTCAAGATTCAATTTTTTTTAGAGTAATTTAAAACTTATGACATTGTCATGTATGAGCAATGGAAATTTTTGAAATTTTCTCTTGGGAAATGGTAAATAAAATTTCAAAGCAGGCCTAGCAAACAGTTTTCCCAAGTTATATTTGGATTCTTTTATATTCCTTTGATGAAGACAGACACATGTTGTAAAGAAAAAACCAAAGTTCTGTAATTCTCCTGTTGTCTTCTATGTTTAGTATATGTGTGTATATATAGGTAACACTACTCGTCATTGCTCATACAAATCACCTACTTCGTTTTTATTACAAGGCAACACTATGGAGAGCCCCATGAGAGCTGCTTTGCTTCTTATGATCATGTTTCTAACCATTGCAACCTTTACTGATGTCGGTTTATGCAATGGAAATCTGTGTGTGCGTTGCAGGGAAGGTGACAAACGAGTGCTTCTGATGTTCAAGCAAGATCTTGAGGATCCTTCAAATTGGCTCTCGTCATGGACTAGTGATGGGGTCTGGTGCAACTGGACTGGAGTTTTCTGTGATGACTTAACTGGTCACATCCGAGAGCTTCACCTCGTTAATGTTGAGAGTTGTCCCACATCGGTAAGAAACAAGGTTTGCTATGTGCTTATAATCTTAGGCTACCCCCCATATTGCCAATTGGTTTTAAGGTGGAACCTCAATTTCATCAGCTAATTGGTTGGGTGGTAAGATAAATCCTTCTTTGCTCCATTTGAAGCATCTCAACTATTTGGACTTAAGTTGCAACAATTTTCAAGGCATGATTCCTAGCTTCTTGGGTTCTCTTAAAACTTTGAGATACCTTAACCTCTCAGTTGCCGGATTCCAAGGATTAATTCATCCTCAATTGGGAAACCTCTCAAATCTACATTTTCTCAGTCTCAGTTGTCAATCGCTGAAAGTTGAGAATCTCGAATGGCTTTCCAGTCTTTCCCACTTGAAAAACCTAGACCTGAGTTTTATTAATCATGGCAAAGCATCTAATTGGTTGCAAGCAATAAACAAGCTTCCTTTTTTCGGTAGAGTTACATATGGTCAATTGTCAACTTGATCACATTCCCCCTCTTCCTATCATAAATTTTACTTCGCTTTCTGTCCTCGATCTTTCCTATAGCAGTTTTGATTCTTTGATGCCTAGGTGGGTTTTCAGTCTTTGAAATTTAACTTCCCTTTTATCTCAGTAGTGGTTTTCAAGGTACATTTTCTAGCCATCCCAAGGAACCAGATCTTGCATTAGATAATCTATGTGAGCTGATGGATCTTGATCTTTCATACAACAAACGTATCAGATATCTTTGAAAGCTTGTCTGTGTGTGGTGCATGTTAGAGTATTAGTGTGATTCTCACAGTTTAGTAATAATCATTGTTATTTCAGATTGGTATAAAGATGTCTTAATGTGTTTATAAGAGTTAATTCAACTTTGGTTTGGATTGAAACTCTATTGTTGGCTCGAAAATAGAACTCATACTTGTACAAGGATTTGATCTTGTATTCCTTGTAGGATTATTATAGGGTAATCCAGATTTTGTAGTATAAAAACCACAAGCCCCTGCTCTCACAAAAATACGCTCTTATTGTTCCAATTACCTATAACTTGGAGAGCATTGAGTTTTGCAGAGAGGAGAAGGTTGTGTGTGGATTCGTCCATGGCTTCTTCATCCATGTATGTGTTAAACTAAGAAACACAGCAGCATTTCAAATCAATTTCATATCTTAGGCCTTACGGGAAGGCTTTGTTATATACACTGCAACATACAACTTTACAATTCAAAATACAAGTGACAGCACGCCACACATGCAGCAGCACCATCTGCTGTCTTCTGACAGCACACATGGGAAAGACTTCGTAAGCAGTCTGCAGGCAGGTATGTGTTGCAGATATTACTTCAGTATTTGCATATGTATAACATATTTGATGCGTTGGTTGTGATTTAGTTGCTAAATTCTTGTGTTCTTGGCTAAGTATATTATAAAGGCTATGCTTATTCTTACAGTCCAGACCCAATAAAGTCATTGTCGTTAGTGGTAATAATTTTTCAGGTCATTTAACAAAGCAGTTAGGAGAGTTTAGAAACTTAAACCACTTTGATATCTATGGCAATTCAATATCAGGTCCCATCCCAATTTCATTAGGTAACCTATCATGCTTGGAGTTCTTAATCATTTCCGATAATCGGTTTAATGAAACTCTTCCGGAAGTGATTGGTCAGCTGAAAATGCTGAGTTTTCTGGATATATCCGATAACCAATTCGAAGGTGTGGTGTCTCAGCTCATTTTTCCCACCTCACAAAACTGAAGCATTTCATTGCAGCCATGAACCCATTGACATTGAAAACAAGTCGAGACTGGCTTCCTCCTTTCCAACTTGAGCGTTTATCGTTGGCTTATTGGCATCTAGGGCATGAATTTCCTATGTGGCTTCGGACACAAACGCAATTGAAGCTTCTAAGCCTACCCAATACAGGAATTTCAGACACCATTCTGACTTGGTTTTGGAACATAACTTGGCAGTTGGATACTCTAAATCTCTCTAGCAACCAGTTGCATGTTGAGATTCAAGGAATAGTTGGGGGGAGTTTGTTTTCGGTTGTTGACCTGAGTTTTAACTAGTTTAACGGTTCGTTACCTTTGGTTTCCTCCTCAGTAAGTGAACTAGATCTTTCCAGCTCATCATTTTCTGGATCTCTCTTCCACTTCTTTTGTGATAGGATGGACAACCAA